TGTGTGTGTGTGTGTGTGTGTGTGTGTGCTTCCCAGAGAAATCAAGGAGAAAGGGGAAGATGGGAAAGAAACCAAGGAGACAGAAGGAGAGACGACGGAGCGACAGCTGAAACAGAGATAGAGGGAAATGGGTTAGACGAGGCCAGCAGACGAGGAACAGAATGAACGAATTAACTGATAAAAAAAAAGGTGCTGCATGAGAGGTGGACAGGGTTTGGCTTGGGGGGGTGGAAGTGTTGGAAACACAGAGGAGGTAATGGAGAGAATGAACAAGGATAAAAGCACGGAGTGAAATAATGAAACAGGATGGCAGGTGAGGATACGAGGACAAGGCGGGATTGGGAGGAAAGAGTGAAATAACAGAGCCAGAGAGCAGAAAACGCCTGTGTCCAGAAACGACCTTGGGCTCGGGACTGATTGGAGATCAGTGATAATCGCGGCGAGGCTGCTGTCGCCACTCGTTGTCTGCAGAAACATGTGTGCGAGCATGACTGCGCCTTACACATTCACACGTAATACACACACGCTTGCTTGAGCACACAGTGTCTCTTGCTCCTAGACGACCACCTCCTTAATAAACCATAAGTTTTCAATAAAAATGCTAATTATCTTTACACTGCAGCACAGTTAGGTTAACACCGGGCCTGTATATGTGCGTACAAAGGAAATAGAGAACAGACGAAGCATCCAAGGTACAAACTAAGCACTATTCATAGGAATGAAAAAGATTTTACTGCGCATTTCATGAATAATTAGATGACTTATAAATGAATGTGAATCCAGACAGGTGATGCTTCCTTATTATTCTGTTGGTGTTTTCTAATACTCATTCAAAGACTTGTTAGGAATAAATAAGCACTTTTTTTTGTCGCTGCATTGGTACAGTAAGTGATTCTGCAAATGATCTGTCAAAGATAGTGGATAGATAAAAACACAGCACTTCCTCTGCTGAATTCAGCTCTGAATAATGCTAAGGAAAAGGGAGACACTGACAGACGATGCTGCCTTGTTGATGTTCTCCACAGAAAGAAAAAAACTGAAGTTTTCTCGCAAACTGCCATAGCCCATTTTTCATTTTCTTTTAGCTATGCTCAGTAGCTAAATTAGGCACGGTAGAGAAAACGTCTCATCTCTTGCATCATCTTGCATGTATGAGCCATCGCTGACAGAACTTTGAGTTCTCGACATACATCTCACCGGCATGTTCTTGCTCTGCCGGATCCTGCACGTCGAGAAATGAAAGTCTGGGATTTGTAGGAAAACTTTGATTTCTTACTCTTTTCCTGGAGATTAAAAAAGAGACACCTGAAAAAAAAAGGGCACTTGCAATAAGCTTAGAAGCACAGACATCCATTAATCTAGTGAAACACTGAGCAGAGCCACAAATTGAATGGCATTTGTTTGACATTTTCTGTGCCATTTGGTATACTTGTTGTCCGCCACGCTTTCATTTGAAATCTATTAGTTGCTGGCAACCTTGAACTCTACATGTTTCTGTTCTGTCTCGGGGAGGTTGTAAAGGAGCTGCAGGTAATTTGAAAGCCTTATTGTTTTGGTGTCATCAATCTATGTCCGCCACACCATAATGTGCCTCTTTCCACTGTGTGTGCATATGTGCACGTTTGTATCAGGCGCCCCATACGTTTGTGTGTATTTGCATTTAGTCCCCTGATGTCTGTCATTCATTCACACACACATACACCGTTGCATAGAATATCTGCTTTATTTTCCAGTTTTCCACACAAGGGAATTGCTTCGGTGTGTTGAATCGTTTTATAGCTTAACTCTTTATGACACTCACACAAGTACACATGCACGCTCACACACATGAACACACTTGTTTTAGGCTCTGAATTCAACACGATCTTCTTCTAGAGATTGCTTATTTATCGGGAGTTGTGCTAAGCCGCACCAGTTACCATGCATTTTTCATGAGCTGAGGATTTAATGGTTGCGTGTGTGTGTGTGTGTGTGTGTGTGTGTGTGTGTGTGTGTGTGGTGGTTGTGTGCTTTTGTGCATTTCTGTTTCTCACCATGTGTTGTGTTTGCTGGTGATGAGTTCAAGCTTCAATGTGTTGAAGAATTTATGCATGTAGCTCACAAAGAATGTGGTGCACACATGCTATATATAACCATGTGCCATCCAGAAGTTCTACGAAATGTTTTCCCTTGGAGGACTCTCCTCTCTCCGTCTTTCCTCTGGCATCTCAGGGGACTACTTCCATGCAGCAGGTCTATAACAGTCTTGAAAGACACAAGGGCACTGCCTGCAGGATTAGGTTTCTGCCATGTTCACATTCCACTCCGTCCCCGAGGGACCGAGGTGGAATGAAATTCATATGTTTAAGAGATTTCTCGCAAGTGTGCACATTTCACTATAGAGCGTTAAGTAGCTTTACGGGTCGGGCTTTGTGTGTAATAGACAGGGAATTGGTGTTAGGATTGAAGCTAACTTGCTCCCACGTCCTGATATAGATTCCTGCACACTCATACACAGTTGCAAAAAAAGAAAAAAAAGAAAAAAAATACATGATCTACAAAAAACATGAGCTCACCCACTGTGCTCCAGAAAACATAATATAACAATTCAGGTTGATTTGCTGAAAATCAATCCCAATAACCACATATTTTTGTTTGTTTGTTTGTTTGTTTTTTAATGTATTTTATTTTCCATTGTTCTGTTGTTATTGTTATTAGCATACATTAAAAGAGCTCATTATCCCAGGACATTTTATTTTGCTTCGTGTTGCTTCATGTTGTTCTTCACAAGGGGTAAGACCACAAGGGGCACTCTGAACACATGTGTACTTGTTCATATTGTGTTGTGTGTTTGAAGTCCCCGCTCCCCTTCCCTGTGTCTGTCAGACATGTGCGTCTCTGTTCCCTCGCATATGTGTGTGCGCGCAACATATGTGAGATGCAGTGCTGTCAGATAGCTTTCCTGTTGCATTGCAGTCTCCTCAGACGCTTATGTAATGTTATTACCAATCACACATGGAGAGCATCCTGGCACTCTCACAAGGTTAGGATGAAATATGAGGACGATTATGGAGATCCAAGATCGTATTATCACGATTTCCTTATTATTGCATCATTAATCTATTTTTGTCTCTTGTCTCCTTTTCTCTCTTGTTCTTTCATTTTTTTCGCCCCTTCATCCATTCCCTATGGCACGTGCAGAAGTAGAACAAAAAGGTAAGTCACTGGGCCACACATCCACACACAAATACACAATATCCGGGATTGGATCTCAATTTTTGATGCCAGTCTCCTGAAATGTTTTGTATCATGTGGAAATGTGGCATGTCCTTTTAAATTTGCTGCTGCTATATTAAGACAGCTTGCATATAGAGGCAATTTAGGAACACTAGTTCTCATTAGACACACTCTAGGGCCATATTATTCCAGGGTATTGTGTGGAATGTCACTTAACAAACTCTCCATGGGTCGAGTACATTTCTATAATGAGCTGCTGAACAGAGAATTACAACGACATTTAATATTTTAAATGCTTCTCTGTGATACTGAAGCAATGCCAGTAGTTTGAAAAGCCAGTGAATATTCAATCAATATTCTTCAGCCTCTTGTGTGGAATCTGGAATTGCACCATTGAGAGGAATGGGAAAACCACAAAGCACATCTGGCTTTTCTGTATCTGCTGTGTGGATGCAATGGCATTCCAGTTAAATTACAAAGGCTTCCACGATTGGTTGCTGTGGATTCCCAGAATTTGCTCCATCTCCCACATAACTCGTAAAACATGACCTCAGTATTCTAAGATGGGAAGACGGAGCAAGGAGTGGAGAAATAATTATTGTTACAATGTGTTATAAAAAAGAAAAATGAAAAAAAGAAACTGATAAAAGATGTGCTCACTTCTGCAGTTGGTGGTTACTGACAGAAATAGAAAAGGAGTGAAAGAGTTGTGGGACTAATGAGGAACTGAGCAGAGAGGGAGAAATAGCTGTAGAAAGAAAAGGGTGGAAGTGAACAAAATGTGCCATTTTCTCTTTATCTCTTAACTGTGAGAGTGGGGTGTTATCTGTTGAATGGGAGGCACAATGTTGCTCTGTTTAAAAATAACCATAGCCTCCAAATTTTAATGCAGTAAGCCTATCATGTCATCATCATTCTTTTGTCGCTGAGGTTAGGTAAAAAAAAAAACAGTTGACATTTTGTATCCAAAAGATAAATAATGTAAAAAATATTTTTTCACTTTCTCCCTTAGTATTTCTGTGTCCTGGCATTCTACGGGGAGTGTACCAAAGCGAGCATCTATTTGAGTCTGACCACCAGTCTGGTGCATGGTGTAAAGACCCACTGCAAGCCTCTGATAAGATTTACTACATGCCCTGGACACCATACCGCACTGACACACTAACAGAGTATTCGTCAAAAGAGGACTTCATCGCAGGCCGTCCCACCACAACGTACAAACTGCCACATCGAGTGGATGGGACGGGCTTTGTCGTGTACGATGGCGCGCTGTTCTTCAACAAAGAGCGTACCCGCAACATTGTCAAGTTTGACCTGCGCACACGCATCAAAAGTGGCGAGGCGATTATTGCCAATGCCAACTATCATGACACTTCGCCGTACCGCTGGGGAGGCAAGTCAGATATCGACCTTGCCGTGGATGAAAATGGTCTGTGGGTGATCTATGCAACGGAGCAGAACAATGGGCGCATTGTGGTGAGCCAGCTCAACCCTTACACCCTACGCATCGAAGGCTCCTGGGACACCAGCTATGACAAGCGCTCCGCCTCCAACGCCTTCATGATCTGCGGCGTCTTGTACGTCGTCAAAACTGTCTATGAAGACGATGACAACGAAGGGACGGGGAACAAGATTGACTACATGTACAACACTGACAAGAGCAAGGAAATGACAGTGAACATACCGTTTCCTAACTCCTACCAGTATATAGCGGCAGTGGATTACAACCCTAGAGACAACCTGCTGTATGTGTGGAATAATTACCATGTGGTCAAGTACTCACTGGACTTTGGCAACAATGGTAAGTCCATTGTAATAACTCATTCACTTTTCTCTTTTTAATAGGTTTTGTCAAGCCAAATAGAGAACTTTGCCTGGTTTGAGAACTTTTCCCCATAAAATGTATTCAATGAGCCTTCTTTTCCTCACTGCTGTGCTTTTTAAATTATGACATATGGAATGCTTATAGGCACTAATCTTCCTTCAGAACTTAATTCAGTAAAATTACTTGGAGAAAGTACAAAAAGAATTCTCCATCTGTGTTGTCACATTTCTGTATTATGGCAGTTCTTCCACTGTTTGTTTGTGATCGGTGCACATTTTCAGTTGACTTAAAATATAATTAAAAATAAGCAGAAAATAATGAACTCAATTGTACTTTTACCACTGCTCCTTGATATGTCAGTGTGACTGAAAGTGTAGTTATCAGCAGCATTTCTATTTATGGAACTAAGAGAGATCATAAAGACTACCTGGATATCTACTTTTAAAGAATATCTCAAATGCAACGCTGAGCCTCAAATGTTTTTGCTTTGTAGAGCACAGCTTCCCAGTTTTCTCTTTAGTTTTTCCACAGCTGCAATTTTTACTGAATGCTGTCAAGAATGTCGGGATGTAGGGGGAACTGACACATCAGTGAATGATGGCTGTCTAAAGATGCTTCAGTTTAAGTTTGATGTGCATTGTTTCTGTACTTTTGGCTCACTCATCTTGATGTCATAAGTTGGCCCTGATTACAATGAGGTTCTGCAACACCTCATCGAGCTAAATCTGAACACAAACATCTGGACTGACAGAGTTTCATCCTCAAACTTTAGAATCATTTGTGAAAATCAACTTATAAAATTCAAAGTTTTTAAATGAGTCTCACTCGCGCCTGTAGTCAGACACAATAGCAATTTTTTTAAACCTGTTTCAGCTCTTCCTTTTGGTTTGATTAAGTATCAGTGCTCCTATGACAGATTTTCAAGCTGCAGCTGCCAATCATTCGTTTGAGCACCACTCGTGTGTCTTTGTGTTTATTCAGCATCAAATATCGAGCAGATGGAAGTCAAAATTCATTGCATAATTTCTGAGGTAGGTAGTTAGTTTGGGAGGGGGATCCAGGTAAAGAGTACAGTAACTCTTTCAGGGATCCTATGCAATCTCAAACTTATGGTGAAGTCCCAACCCATTTCCATGACAGGGAGGAGCAGTCATAAAACCACTTTACAGGCTGACTTGTTTAGATTAAAGAACAATTTGCACCGCTATGTCCATTTGAAAGAGCCAGGAATACCTTCTAACCCAGGGTGAGTCACACCAACTCCAGTGTGAAACGTTACCTTACCCTCCTTCCTCTGTCTTGCCTCTGGATGGAAGGGCTTAGGGCCTCAATAGCCTGCAGGGCTATTTGCCCAACGTAATTGCCTTTCAGCACCTTCTATGGAGTGGTCAAGGCAGTCTGGCTGCGTGTCTTATTAAATGATGTCTGAATTAACGCATGCTCTTACATGCAGTTAGGAGGCGCAGTACAAGAAATTATAGAGAGAGACAGTGATAAACTTGATTTCCACTGACTGGCAGGTGTGTGTGTGTGTGTGTGTTTGTGTGTGTATGGTTGCAAGGGATGTCCATGATGGAAAAATGTGCTTATGCTTGTGTTAACGTGTGCATGCTGATGGTCTTGCACATGAGTTAATGTATTTACTGAATGAGTTTGTGTTTCATTCATGTGAATGACTTTATTATGAAGGTGGGATCACTCTCATTATGGAGCTCTGGATGTCTCAGGAGGCTCTAAAGAGGTGATCAATGGGGATTCAGTGTGGAGAATGACCTCCAGTGCATAGCAACAAGCCAGACTTGCTGACCAGTGGGAGATAAATACATACAATCAATGTTACATCGCTCTTTTTTACGCTCGTCCACACTCCACTGTCTCACTCACTGAAGACGAGGAATAAATTAACTACCTTAACTGCATGGTTTTCTCATTCTTTGGAAAATGTAGTGACTGATCGATTTCTCAAAGGTTTCTCTTGTTGCACGTTGACAACATTTTTCGCCCTTCATGCCTCTTGAAGAAAGTCAATTGTTGTTTACCTTCTCTTCAAATGCATTATGCTTACTGTAACCTTGTTAGCAAACCTGCCATGTTTTGGCTTTTTATTTACTTCCCCCTCCTTTTTGTAGTCTTTTCAGGAGACAGACCAAAGAAAGCAGCCATTCGTAGGGGTTTCCAGTCATTACTGATGTCGCCTAATGCACTCTCGGTTTTTGTTTTGCCTCGTGTGGACTTCTTAAGATATAAAATAAGACAGGAAATGGGCTGTGGTCTAAGGCAGGGACGAGGTTGGGCCACCGAGGACGGAGAGTAATTGGGCTACAACACAGAGAGCACCAATTACTTAGTTGTGCCTACCCAACTGGATAACAAAGGCAGACGGTTTAAAAGAGTTCACTCTGAGGCTCTGGGATTGTTAGGTTTTAACACACCAGAAAAAGAGCCCAGATACTTTGGCAGACCTACATTTTGCAAGTCAGGTATGAAAGGAAGAAAAAAATACTGCCAAATGGCATTTTACTTTAAAGAAATACAAAATGTGTGGTTGAAAATAATAATGTCCAATTAATCCTGGTGTTTTGAGGTAACACATACAGGGTATAAGGCTTTACTTTGACAGTTTTGCCTTTTTTTAAGTATAGATATGAGAGTCACATCAGAAATAAAATGATAAGGTTATTGTTGAATGTTAAAATGAATTTCATAAGCTGCCTCGCCACTTACTGCTCAGACACTGCTTGACTCCTGCTCACTGTTTTCTTTGCAGCTGTCTGTCACATTCACTGCAGGCAGCTCTCAAGCTTCTGTAAACAATGAAGTCTGAGCGACCCTGGTGAGCAAACTAAGTAACAATGTCATTTTCAAATTACCCCATGCATCCTCTTTGCCATTAGTTCTATTAATGGAAAAGAATTGCAGCAAATATCAGACAATAACCATTTAATGGCCTGTATCCACATTATTTCTGTCCTTGGCAAATAAATGTGATGCCTTCAGAAGACTGAACATCCTCCATCCGTCTTGTTAGTGGCGGGTACATTTTTCCTGCGCAACAACTTCTTTGTATGAAAGCACGGTTGTATTAAAAACTCCAAGAAAATGTTTTTTTTCCCTTCTATAGTCAGATATATTTATCTCAGAATGGGTTGCACAGAAATTGGACACAGATAAATCATGAACTTTTCTTGATTAGCATATACTGGATGACCAATATACATTTCAAACTAAGCATGCACAGTTGCAGGGCTTTTTAACTTTTAGAAAAGATGTGTTCATGAGTAGTGAATGTCTTACCTGCAGTAGACAGCAGTCAGCTCACTGTAAAGGTCTCAGCATACCTTTTTTGTCCCAAATGATTATGTTGCACATGCATTCAGCCTATTTTTAAGTCAGTTGCACAACAGCCCTATGACTCAGGGATCCACAGTTTCCATCTCAGCTCAAATAAGTAATGTAATGATTTCTCAACTATCAGGTTTTATAGCAGGCAAAAAACCAGGGCGCAGGCAGGTTCAAAAATGGAAAACAAGGTCTTTATAATATAAATCAAAAGGCTGGCAGTGCAGCACAAAAAAACTCACTTGAAGTCACAGTTACAGAAAACACGGAGGCAGGACACAGTCAGGACAGACTAAACAATGATCCGACAAAGACAGAAGACAAGACTCAGAATTTAAAGCAAACCAATTAAGGGACAATGGGAAACACCTGGGGAAACACAAGAGGAGTCAGGTAAGTGAGGGTGGGGCTGCAGGGCAGAGAAACACAGGGAAACAGAAAAACACTAGAAAACAAAGATAAAAACACAGATCATGACATCAACTTTTTCCGAAATAAAGGAGATGAAAAAGAGCTTGTAGAGATGTCTCATCAGTTTTCCTGTCATCTCAATTTTGGAGCAACAAATGATCAAACTATGTATAACAGCAATATCATCACGCAGTATGGGTAGCAGCTGAAATATTAATGCATGCACAAACAAAACAAAACAAAACATGTACAACTATGTTTCTGGCTTAAGAGTGTATACGTTGCACTTAGTGTTAATGTGCACAGTCTGTGGTAAACAAGATTGTCTACAGAAGGACATGACAGACATGCCCAAAAGACTAAATTTCTGAACTTCACACACATGTGGTGAGCAAATCAGAACTCACAAATTTTGTTTAGTTTGGAGAATCAGTGGCAATTTATGACAGGTCAACAGAAGAGAGTTATTTGCTTCTAAAACCAACTTAAACCCTGCAAGATTTATAGCATTATGACTGGAAGCTATAGTGTGGAGTTTTTATAGTGTCATGATTGCATCTTCCAGTTACAGATGGCATGCTGTGTTATGACCTGAATGTTCAATCTAAATCACTGTCTGATACTAAAGTGTCACTTAGGTAAAATCCAGTGTAATAAGCTTGGTATTGCAAGGAATTAAATAAAGTGCTCAGTAAGATTTAAAAACACAGAGCTGTGCAGAGAAGACAAAGTCTAAACTGGATGTAAATGCAGTCTTATAAATAAAGTGAAAAAAGTCCAGCTCCATTGAGTTTAAAATATATAGAGTATAAGAGTGAGAAGTAAAAAAAATGTTCCTCTTAAATATAAAGGTGGGCTGGAATCTTCAGTCTGACCAGTATCCACCAGCTGGCACCAGCACTGTGTGGGTGTGTTTGATTTGGGACACAGAGCATGCTCTCTCTCTGTGGTGCATTTTTTTTTTCAAAAATTAATTAAGCATTAAATCCAGCTCAGCAGAACCTCCATGATGACGCCACCCCTCTGTGCTATTGCTCCGCATTCTCCACCCACTTCACGGTCACAGTCCGGCTGCGATCACACTTCCTTTGACAGCTTACCCCAGCTCTGAACTTCCACACGAAGCACACGCAGGGTATCTGTCACAGAGCGGTGTCAGCTGAGAGTCTTCTGTAGACACGAAGCGTTGCCTTCCAGCTGCTGCAGGCACACCAACAGCCTGCTCT